GTAAGTAAGTAGTAGTACTCTCTCTCTCTCTCTCTCTCTCTCTCTCTCTCTCTCTCTCTCTCTCTCTATTGAATGTAAACCTTCATCTCCCATTCGCATTTGCAGGTAAATATGTTGGAAATCGCCCAATCAAGCTGCGAAAGAGTAATTGGAAGGACCGGACAGATTACGAAGCCTTGGAAAGGCAAAAGGTGGGGACCCTTGCTTGCGTCTTATCATTTTGTTCCCATTTCTCTCCAGTTTCTTTTTGGTTGCGTCGGTTGTTGGTGTCTTTGGAATTTTGTTTCCTCTTAACCGTTTCCTCTCTCCTATATTCTACCAGAACCATACTCAGAAGAAACCCAAGCTCCCAAAGAAGGGTATCCTCCACAAGTAATGCTATCACCAGGTGACATGAGTGTCTGATGGTATAATCACTCAAACCCTCCGATGTACCATTATTCTTTCAAATGATAGTAATTCACTTTGAGATATTTTTAACCTATGGTAAGGTCTCTGTTCTTACTGAGAAGAAAAAAGAGAGGAGATGTGCATGAAAGGCTTAGAATCTTTACCTCTTTCCTGTAAAATAGCTTCTCTAATTGACGACAAATTTTGTTGTAGTCGCCATATAGATATGGAAAAAGAATGATATAAGGAGGCTGCCAAATGTGAGTATAGTTGATTTATCTGCTCTCTCTCTCATATTATAGGTGGTTTATCTGCTCTCTTATATGTGATGCCTTCCATTTGTGTATTGGGCTCTCTCTCCCTCCCTCCCTCGCATATTACAACTTTTTTATCTGCTCTCACATGTGCTCTCACATGTAGTGTCTTCCATTTCTCTCTCTCTAACACAAACACACGCACATATTTTATAGCCAACTTATCTACTCTCCCATATGTACTGCCTTCCATTTATGTATTGCTCTCTCCCACTCTCTCATGTATTACGCAAGATATGCTGTCCTATATGTATGGTCTTCCATTTATGTATTGGTGTCTCTCTTTAATGGACTCATGTATTGGGTTCCTAGCCCCTCTCTGTGGGATTCATTAGGTGACCTTATCTCTGTTCACTGTTATTGACTTCAAGAATGTTAAATTCGGTTCAAAGTTTTATATTTGTTTAGGTTTTTATTTTAAATTTTAATCAATGTGTTTCATTAGCATTCCTAAATGCTTTATTCTTTGGCTTTGAATTCAAGAATTTCTTGTTTTTATATTGATTGATGTTAAGATGAGTGGCTATATCTCTACCCTATTCGATCAATTTGCCAAAAGGGGGTAATGGAAATGGGAAAGTATTCTTTGGTTTTGAATTCAAGAATTTCATTTTTTTTTATTTATTTTTATTGATGTTAAGATGAGTGTCTATATCTCTACCCTATTCGATCAATTCCCCGAAAGGGGAGAATGGAAATATCTCTACCCTATTCGATGAATTCCCCGAAAGGGGGGAATGGAAGTGGGAAAGTACACAATAAGACCGATAACCATTGGTATAAAAAGGTTAAAATCAGCTCTAGCCATTAGAAATAATTGGGAGTAATGCTATTAAGTCTATATTTACGTGTTGGGGGTTTGCCATTTACTGTGCTCGAAATCTGTAATTTTTTGGATTTCATATAGAAAAATGACCCACACTTCTTACTTAATTTGGAGGTCACAATCATTATTGTCTTATAACTTTTAAAATGAGTAGGGGTAAGAGTGTTAATTTAATAGAGACAAAATTAAAAAAACAAAATTTCGGATTTCGTGATTCACTTTTAAGCCATTTAATTTGACATTTAATGAATGTGAATGATTGTAACCTTTTGATAAATAGTTTTGTAGATAATCTTTATTATATCTGATGTTTTAGGATCTTTGTGAGCTATCCTAAAGAAAATGCATGTACTCTGTTGGGTAAGCTGTTGGCGAACAGCTTACAGTGCACCATTCAAAAAATTCCAAGAATGGTGACAGAAGTATAGACTTGTTCCAGTAATTGCACCATCAGATTTGACCTACGTGTTGTGCGTGGTAGGTTTTTGGATGGGTGCACCTACTAGGAATTTCTTTTAAAAAAGTTTCCCCTGGAAACGAATTGCTTAACGAAACCCAAGAGTTTTTATGGCCTCATTTATTTAACTAGATGGCACCAATATGGGTCTGGTTAAATCAAAGGTGGTTTGATCTATCAAATCGGTTGGATTAGATTCGTAAAAAATAAAAGAGTTTTAAAATATGAATGTATTAGAGAGAAGTTTTCAACTTTGTTTAGCTGATCAATAGGACCAAATTAGACAGTTTGATTGGCCAAAATTGGTTTAACATTAATTTTTGTCACCAAGTTTTGTTTAAGAATGAACTGTTCACCGGTCAAGTTTTGCATTTCTTGATTCTCTCTACCGAACCAAACATGCGAGTCTCTGTTATGCCCCAGACCAAACACGCAAGTCTATGTTATGCCCCAACTGAATGATCCAGGCTCCTCTTTGATCTCCAAGATTTGGCTACTAATTTGTTGAAACTGCTCTCCAAGATTAAATATTAGTTTGAATGACGTTGTTAAACTCAGGTTGTTAATAAGGGTGCGGTTTTTATAAGGCCGAGGCTTTAAACAATCAGAGTAAAGCCCACCTTCAAATAGTGTTGAAAAATGTTAGTTTCAGTATTGGAAAACTTTGTAATAGTTTTAAAATATATTTTCATCTCTAATTATAAAATGTAAAGCTTAAAAAGTAATGTATGTCGAGCAGATTTATGAAAACCTGAAAATTGACGGTTCAAAAATGCATTATAAGATGCATTATTTTCAAAACTTGAAATCTATTTTTTTCTTATTTCCATGCATCTGATCAATTTGAAGATTTTTGAATATCAAAACAACCTCTTCTAGTGAAATTTTTAAGTGCACCTTAATTTGATTGTTAAGAGCCTCCCACTTATATAAACTTTTTCCTGTTTATAATCAACTTTGCGTTACTGCTTTTTACAACTGGGCATACAACATTGCAACAATATATGGAAATTCTGTTGTGCGAGAGATATGGAAACCTCAAAAGGTTGATGCTGTCTCGCTAGATAACTTAAAAGGATGCAGTTTCTAGAAAGGCTAGGTACTAAGAAAACAAAGTAAAAGCTACCTGAATCCTTATATAAAAAGTACTTTGGGCATCGTAAAAGGTACTATTCGTAAAAGGCACTATTAAAACAAATAAGGCTACGAAAAGAACTTTGAGCATAGTAAATCTCTAAAATCAATTTCTAAAACCGACTACAAAATTTTCAGTTGAAAAAATAGTACTGAGATGGCGCTGTAGCTATTTTGGTAGGACTGCAACCCTATCAAACCACTTCCCAACTTACGAGAGAGAGAGAGAGAGAGTTGTAGGTGTTTTTTTATTTGATGCAGTTTCTATAAATTAGACTCTTGAATATAAATTAGACTCTTGAAAACAAAGTAAAAGCCTCACCTCAAATTCTTGTCTAGAAAGCACTTTGGACATCGAAAATGTCTAGAAAACACTTTGGACATCGAAAATCTCTACAATGGCTCTAAAAACAATTTGCTACACCGAGAATAAAATTTGAAGCTCAAAAAAGTGTACAGATGAACTTATTTTTAAAGTGAAATGGACAATCTTGATAATATATTGCAATATATTCTAATTTTAAAGCTTGAAATCCCTTTTTTTCTCACAACAGTAATGGTCAAAGCAGATGATCGATTTTAAAGTTTTCAAATGCAAAAACTTTAAAGGTGAAATGGACAATCTTGATAATATATTGCAATATATAGTAATTTTAAAGCTTGAAATCCCTTTTTTTCTCACAACCATAATGGTCAAAGCAAGATGATCGATTTAAACTTTTCAGATGCCAAAGCTACAGTTTTCGATAAGTTTTAAAGCAAGGCTTTTACTTATTTTGATAGAGAGCAATAAAAATATTTTCTTTTTTTGTTTTTCTATTTTTTTTTTTTGGGGGGGGTAGGGGGGGAGAGGAAGGAGGGTTGGAGCAGCAAATTGAGAGAGTTTGGGAAGAGAGAGAAAGGGGGAGGAAGGAGGGTTGAAGCAGGAAATTGAGAAAGAGAGATTTTGGGAAGAAAGAGAAACTGAGGGATAGGTCAAAACTTATTCCCAACCCATTCCAACGCTCGAAAAAACACCACCGAACCTCCCCATATCACACGCACGCAACCAAAAAAATCCTAACTTATTCCAACAACTTGTGAATCAATATTAATTATCCCAATTTGGGTCCCGCATAAATTGGAGTAAAGAATATCAAAAATGCTGAAATTGATCAAAAAACAAACCACAGTACATACCTCCCGCCATGCTTCGGCAGTCAGCAGATACCACCTACTCTTTTAAAAGGAAACAAAAAAAAACCACAAAACCAAGCGAAAAAATCTCCGGCACATCGGCCATGCTTTGGCCGTGCATGAGAGAGAAATGCTTCACAAGGAATCCTTGAGGCTCTCACCACTTGACTGCCACTTCTTCTTTTGGATCACAAACACCACCTCATCTCCATCAGGCTCCGTTTCAGGGTCCCCATCGACCATGACTATGGATTCCCAATGGAGTGCCGTTAAGTACTTCTTGATAAGCTCAACGATCGAGCGCTTGTCTCTAACTAAAAGGAAACCAGTGGGTCGAAGGATCCGGTCAATCTCTATGAGAAGATCCTCTACACTGCAATCTTTCTTCGTGATGTCTGAGAACACAGTCCATGCGTGAAGGAGATCATAGGTTCGAGGGTATGTAGAGAACGCCTCACACCTGTGGTCAAAGAATGGCAGTGTTTTCATGGATAAATGTATGTAGCATGAACGTATCGATGCTCAGATATATGCATGCAAACATGAGAAATCCGTACACAGCCTCTCTCTCTCTCACACACACACACCCAAAGACCCACACACACAAAAGGAATTCTATTATTATTATTTTTGAGTGAACAAAGATTTCTGAGTTAACTGCAACTCTTTTTCGTCCATAGCTTACATGTAAGTCGTTAAATTTCATCCATAGCTTACATGTAAATCATTAAATAGCTTACATTTTTCTTTCTTCTAAAATTTAAACAAGTGCAGAAAACAAAACCCATGAAGCCCTATCAGGAGATATTTGCAACTCTTTTTTCCATTATATAATTAACATGTTATTCATTGAAGAACCTGTCTACATCAAGTTGCACACAACTTGATTATACTTTTTTCTCTCCTAAAATCAATTGGAGTATAGAAGAAAAAATCACTTGATTATACTTTTTCTCTCTCCCCTAAAATTAACGGCGAGTATAGAAGAAACAATCACAAGAATGCCTGATTTCTGAAAACTGACTTTGCTACTGTGTGATGACTCCTAAGATATTGCTTACCAATCATGATCGGTACCAATTAGGCCTCGGTCGTAGATTATTTTGAGAGTGTTTGGATCATCTTCAGGTACAACATTCATTACCCACACATCCTTATCTCTAAGAGCGGCAGCAAAAGAACCCAGGTTGGCCTTCATATCCATTATGTTCCTCAGAGTTTTTGGTCTCAATTTGGGCTTTAATAGGTTCCAATATTGCTCAACCCTACGATGCCATACCTCCTGCACAATCCGTGAAAATTATGACATGAACATGCGCATCATGTGAGAGAGAGTCTTGTTTAAAGCATAAAAAAGTGTCTTATTATTACCGTGTCCTTTCCAAACATGTCATTGGTTATGCCAAAATCTGCTAGTCGAGGAGGAGGAGCAGTTAACCGAGCGGGCCATGGGACTAATCCACTACCCTTGGATTTGTCCATCTCTGATAAGCACAAAAATTTCAATCAACACTGATTGCATCTCATTCAGAGAAAAGAAATGCTTTTATCTTTTTTGTCATGGTCCATAATAACAAAGTTTGAGTGATTCTACAAGTCAAAAGAGTGGAACTAAAAAATTTAAAAAATAAGCAAGACAGTAGATGCACAGTTGAACAATATATGAACAGAGATACAAGTCTAAAACTTTCAAATGTCTTCAATAAGTTTAAAATGCGCATCAATTTGATTGAGGGGAGTAAGACAAGTATCAAAAGATGATCAGAAACTGTTTATTAATATCTCTTGATACCCTGACTGCAATACACCAATATTCTCAGATTTCGCAATCAAGTACATGATACTACCTAGGATAACTGAAAATGGTGGTCTAGGTCCAGATGAATGCAGCTTAATGGTTTATGTTGTTTGCTGGGTCTTTGCAGAAAGGGATACGATGGAGATATTTGCAATATATGATAACATATATCACCATTTCGGGTAGAATTAGACCGAGTAAAAGCATCAGATTTACTAAACCTTTTTTTTTTGGGGGGGAGGGCGGTTGGGGGGTTGGGTGTTTCAGCTTTGGAATTTCAACATTGGACACAGTTTAGCAATTGTCAACAGCGCAACCAATCAATCTCATGCTCGGAACCCCAAAATTCCCCACTGTTAATCAAAACAGGAGGAGACTATACATATCCAATATTTTAGACAGAACTGTAGTTTGGAACAGTTGTGCAAACCCTAGGGTCCTCTTTATGAGGCTGAGAAAAGTACTACCATTTATCATTCTCCATCTTTTGGAGGAAGGGTGGGTTCATCAATCTCCTTATCAGGGTGCTTCCTTAAAGGAGGGTGATATTTGGCATGCTGCTTATTGCTCAGAGGGGTTTGGGTACAAAGAGAGTCACTAAGGGCGATCCACAAAGTAGCTATTCGAAAAGACAAAACAGAGATATTGAGAAGGCTAATAACCCCATAAAATGGAGCTTCCTTTACAAGGGAATTTTGGTATTGAGCTTATGTCAAAGATTTGACATTGAGATATGTGGAAGGGGTCGATGAGGGCATGTGTCTTTGTGGCACCTCATTCGATATGGCAAAGTCTCCAGAAGGTTTCTTGTATATGTATTGTATGGTTCACATCACAAGAAGTGCCCCCATTATTAGAAGGAAAAAGTTTATATAAGGTTGCAACCTTAAAATGTAGAATTGCAGATGTACCTCAAAAATCCATCGAAAAAAGTTGTTTTAATGTTGAAAAACCCTCTAATTGATCATCTCGACATCGAGATGTAGAAATATGAAAAAAAAAAAAAATTTGAGTCCCAGAAATAATGCATCTTGCAACACATTATCTAGACCGTTCATTTTCAAGATTTTGATATAGATCTACTTGATTTTATCCATTTTTGGAGTTTCAAATTTTATAAATAGAGATGAAAAGAGACCTTAAGATAATCTTAAAAGTTTTTACACCAAATTTATATATGATGATCAAATTTGGAAGTGCACCTTAAATGGATTGTTTACGGTTGCAACCTTATAGAAACCACACCCTTATTAGAATACCTTACAAACTATTTATATCTCTATCAGAGGCTTTGGCCATAAGAAAGTGTAGTGACGGGTGGTAGTGGTTTCCAATTGTAGCTCGGAAGGTGTGGATCACACATCTCCAATTTATGGATGTACACCAACTTCATTTCGTGCTCCGAAGGCCCAACAAGAGACACTCAAAACACATCCAAATGCCATATGAGTTGGCGTGGGAAGGTCAACTTCAAAATGAGCCCGGTGACGGGGTTGGAAGACTCTTATTCTCTATGTGGCCTTTAACTTGCAATCCAGTGTCATTCTCTCCAAGCATGCATTTCAAGTTGTCATTGTGCATCATGAAGCCAAGAAGCAATTTGTAATCTCGTTAAAAAGTTTGAGTAAAAGTTGGCCCTTTGAAAGCTTCCAATTGGGAATCTTTCCAGCTTAACACAGTCACTTCTCTTGATGCTCATATCATTGGTCAACTATAAAGGTTACAGAATGGGTTCCTACAGAATGGATGTGTGAAAAGAGGTTTTGTACATTCATTTTCACTTGATTTGCTGGGCAACAAGAGGCAGAGGTAGTTAAATCTATCCCCTGATAAATGGCACTGGAGATTTGGGAAGCAATTTGTTAACATTTGAGCAGCATGTTTAGTGAACGGTATGCAGAATTAAAGGATATAGTATAGTAGCATAATGGCATACACATAGGACATCAACCAACACAAGTCAATTAACCCAATTTTCAAGCATTCAAGTGCTATTTTCATTTTTGAACTGTGGCATGCTTTTGCATTTAATTTCCAAATATTGCAGTTCAAATTCATTTCACAGCAAGAGCGCACAACTTGTCCAACACAAACAGGAAAAGCACATCAGTTAACTAAGAAAGAAAACCAATGAGCAACTAAAATAAATGATTTAGAGAAAGTTTCATAAGAAAGGGTTAGAAAAGAGAAAGAAAACAAGTACGACACTCACGCTCAGAATAGGGTGTAATGCAGGCTTCCATCTTCACACCCCAAACAGCATCTGGATCATCATCAGTTCTGCAAAGTGGAGGTTGAGTACCAGGCTCTCGTGCCTTGTAACAGGCATTTGTAAGTGGCTTGACCCATATAACAGTTTGGTCTCTCTTTGCCACAATCTTCCAACACATGCGCCCAACGAGGTCACTCATCTCCCTCCATATCTTGCGATCTTCCTCATCTTGTGCATATGCTTCAGGAGAAGAGTAAGCAAAATAGCCACCCGGCCTGAGCAATCTATCCAACTCAAGAAGAAGGATACCATCCCTTTGTAACCAGTCTATCCTACAACGAGAGCAATGAGCAAGCTCGAATGATCTACTAGGATAAGGGAGCCTCTTTGTCCCTAAAACACCAAGAAATGCGGGGATTCCTCGTTCAAGGGCAAATTGGATCTGGTTCTGATGCACATCATTGGGTGCAAGGGACATTGCTATGATGTCCCTAGAAAGGAGATAAGCACCAAAACTGGCAACCCCACAACCAACATCAAGAACAGTCCGGATTCTTCCGCCATTGTTCAGGTTATCGCCCGAGAAGTTGAGCATCTGCCAATCAATCCAGATTAATACAAAAAGCATATAAAAAGCTGCGAGAAAAGCCAATGAAATAACTTTACATCACGGAACAACAAAAATTCAAAGAAATTATCGGATAAATATTTAAGAAGTGCTTATGTAAAACTAATATTAAAGAAGCTAAGAAATCAATATTTTAAAATAAAAAAAAGCGCTGTGAAATTAGATAGATCACCCTTGGTTTGAGTAATTTCTTTGACATCTTTCTTTGACAAATGGGTACAATGGGTTACTAAATTGCAAGTTAGGTAAGTTAATCAAATTCAATAAAATATGTATCATTTGTTATTTCAAAATATTTAATGGTATTTCTGCCATTATCATAAAAAAAAGGGGTTGTAGATGGTATGTGCTTCTGAACTTCTTATCAGAATGAGAAATATATGAATTTATGGAAAATGTATGCAATCCAGCAGTGACTTTTGAAATACAGTAGTCAAAATTCACCATATCAGAAATTAGTTCCTGCAGAACATATGGCTAAACCTAGTAGAGGTAATAACATATAGATTGTCCATCTTAGAAATACAGAGGATCCCAAGATTAAATTCCTAATAATTTCAATTTTAGATGCACTACCAGAAATGATGCACCAGATTAAATAGTAATGCAGTTATATAAATACCAGCAAGTTTCACTGAGTTGAAAATCATACATTTGCCATTGAGGTGATATATTTGTCAGCTCCATAATGAAAATGAGTCCCACCCCCTGGGAATACAATTTTGTTGCCCTTAACAGCCATCCAATTCTGGTCTGACTTCTCATGTGCGAGATGAGTGTGAGGTATGTTTGCTTTCCATACTTCATCTCGGCTTTCTGGCCACTTTATGGGAACCTGGAACAGGCATTACTGAAAAGTTCAGCTATATAAAGGAAACATCACCTTTTTCTTTCTTTTTTCCTTCCTTTCTTTCTTTTTTCTGATTATCTACTAGAAAAACACAAAAAACAAGGTTCAAAAGAAAAAAAAAGAAAAGGAAAGGAAAAACAAGGAAAAAGAAAAGCACTGCCTAAATGCATTTCTGGCAGCTAACTCCAAACATGCATATCAGAGCATAATGCACAGACATTGATTGATAATTACATAGACTCCATCAGTATTACATTGTTTTCCTACTTGGTATCAATGCAAGCGGAAGTATGCTATAATTCAACAGATTATGGAAAACCCACAATCCCACTTGCAATAACTGTCCATTGAATTGAAGTGATAACCAGAAATGGAGAGAGAGTGCGACCCCACATGGCGTTGTTATGGTGAGCAGGTCCTGCTCTCTCTCCATCACCATCTGTCATTTTGATGCACTGCAATGACCCAATAGACAATGGTCTTCCAATAACCCATCGGATTATCTTATGCTTGTCATAAATCTGGAAGATTAGTAAATAAATAAATGATTAGTACAACTTATCTGTAAGACTATAACCCAACCTTATACCCAGGTGGTGGAGGGATCAAGCAATTATAACGCCTATCTTGTGGAGGGCAGTGTCTCTCATAGTGCTCCATAAGTGACAGATCCACCTTCATTCTCAACTGTGTTTGAAGGTTTCTATCTAGGCATGGAATGAGCTCCGAATAGCGATCATCACAGACCTTCAGAACAGTGTGAAATTTTAATTTAAACCCAGCATGCAATAGGAATAAAGAAAATCTCTAGATAGATAATGAAAGTATTAAACTATATTAAATCAAAATAAAACCAAGATTGAACAATTATCAACAAAAAAAAAGCCACATAACTTCTCCTTTACTGGGTCGTGCAATCTTACCAAACCAATCCTAACTAAATAGTATGCAAATATACTATGAGAGAGAGAGAGAGAGGTAGTAGTACTCACGGGAAAGCTTTTCGGCGAAATATCATTGTCCACATCTTCCCTTGAAGACTCTCTATCAGCACTAAGATCGGCATCTTTATCATCACCATCCCCACCCAAATAAGTCGATGCAAACTTCCTCCCATACTCGAGAGCCTTTCCCCGATTAGATCCAAAGAATGAACCATAGTACAGAAACAGGAAAACCAAACATAAAATCATTACACACAAGGATGTAACAAGGCGCTTCTTTTGGACTCCATCAGTCCTACCCCTCATCATATCGGATTCTAAACTCCTAAATCCTCTTACAGTCCCTGCCTTCAAAACATGAACGAGAAACCAAATTGTTCTAACTTAAAAGAACCCCAAGCAAAAATTGTTATTGCATATTCCTATTAATCTCTGTAAGATTCAGAACACCCCTCGTATGCCCAGATCTAGTCCCCTTCCAAATTACAACATATCTACCTAAAGAACTTCTATACTACCATCAGATGCTGATTCAAAAAAACCTCTACCAGATCATACCCTAAACTCCGAGATTTGACGATAATCCTGCAAAACCAACCAAAGAAAAAGGTTAGATTCATAGCATGCACCAGATGATGAACACCCGAGAAAGAATATGAGACAAGATAGAAAGAATAAAGGTATAAATGACCCAAAGAATAATATTAGTCTTTTATAAAAATAGCAAGGCAGAACAATTCTCTAGAAGAATAACAAAAGGAGCAACATAAATTTCACCCCTGAAGAACAACAGATAAGCACCCATAGAGAAAACCACCAAGGGAAAATTTCAAATCATAAAGAACCAATACGAAAATTTCAAATCATAAAGAACCAATACGAAATTAAATGGCCAAACACCTATTTCTACAAAACCCTTACAATCACAAATTTCCAGATCCCACAGTACCCAAAGTGCAAAAATGATGAATCGAAGGCCAAAATAAAACCTTCAAAATGAACCATTCAAAAAACACTGACTCAACTCCAGGTCCCATATCATCAAAATGACACATTATAATTGCTCTTGAAAAATAATGGAATGGACAACATCCCAATAAAGACCCAGAGAAACTAAGGTTATGACCCTGTATCACCAAAAAACACCTAAACCATTGCTCTAGAAGAAGAAAGGGCAAAGACCCATCTCATAAAAATCCCGTAAATAAATGGAAAGGGATGTTATTGCTATAGTACAGAAAAGGGGCGAAAGGCCAAGTACCGACCTGTACTGGGAAGCCAGATCTAAGCCCAAACACTCAGATTCAATTGTCTTGAGCTTTTAGTGTTTTAAATCAGTGAAATAAATAACCGAGAAGAGAAAAAGATAAATGAGCGTACACTGTGATCCACCGACAATAGCAGCCTCTATTAATTGAGCACATAAAAGTTGAAAATAAAGAAAAAAGCAGAAAAAAATATTAAAAAGGGAACAACTGGAACTTTTTATCCCAAAGGAATAATAATATAGTAGAAAGTCTTGTCGGTTGTGAAATCCAAAAAACAAAAACCAGAATCTTTTCACACGAGAGGTGTCTTGTTATTAATTAAAATACAAATAAATCACAAATATAATACAACCTGAAAGCATATCAAACAACATATATAAGTCCCCTAAAAGAAGCAGCAAAAATAAAAAAAACAATAGAAAATCACAAAAAACCTTACTTAGAAATAGAAGTGAATAAAAAAAGTTACCAGACAAATGCGGGAAGAACCAACTCGATAAATTCTCTTTTTGGAAACAACCCCAAAAACCCAACAAAAAAAACTACTTTTCCAGCTGTATCATGGATCAGGCAAAATTACAGAGAAAGCCCAACTAAATTTACAGCGCAGTAAAAAAAACACAAAACCCCCAAATTCCAGATCTCCTCACACAAAAACCCCAATGTTTTCACTATCTATGGAAATTTCCCAGATCTAGGTCAAAATCAAACCACTCCGCCATAATTAACCATCAAAATCACATCATGATCAAACATATTCAGAAATTAGAAACCGATCTGGTTTGGATGAATAATTGATGGACGAAAACAGTATGAATGAGACTTACTGGGATTTTAAAAGGAAATGTTGGAACCCTATATTTGTAGGGCTAGTCAGCAACAGTCCCAAATGGTGGGGTATACGGATGTCCCTGTAAAATGAGGGTAAAGTGTGGATCTAGTGAAAATAATAATTTAATGATCAGTTCTCGTTTATTTTACTTCAAACGGTAACCTAGTGCCGCTTAAGTGAGAGAGAGAGCGCCATTTAAGTCAGAGAGAGATAGAGCCATTTAAGTCAGAGAGAGATAGAGCCATTTAAGTTAGAAACAGAGATATGCATTTATGGGGAAAGCAATTAGATGCGATTGGGTGTAAAGCAGAGAGAGAGAATTAGAAGGCGATTGGGTGTCAACAGAGTTTTTTTTAGAGAGAGAAAGAGGGGGGCGCAATGTGATAGTTTGGCTTATGCAGGACCGTACTGTTTATGGGAAATGACTTTGTGAGCCCCAGATAAGGACTTCAAAAGATAGATCGGTTAAAAAAAGTCCCGTCCTACATCCATATCATAACTTTAAAAAAAATGTGTATTAAATTTAAAGAAGATCATTTAAAATTTTACATAATTGAGTGCCCCACATTAATATCATAACTTTTTAAATAATATGTATCAAATTTAATGATGATTATTTAAAATCTTACACAAATAAGAGGGTCTAATAGTATCGTTACTCATTGTTTATTTACTGTATCAATTAACCCATAATTAAAGTCGATTTTTATGGTCTTAAATTTTGAGGACATGACTTATTCAACTAGAAGACTGACCTCAAAATAAGAAAGTTCAAATGTTGTTTTATATGTACTTGAAAAAAAATAACTCCTAAACTATTTTTGAAAAATAGGTAGGGTATATCTTCTCCGTTGAATTATCAAAAAAACTTCAAATTGAATAGAGACTTACTGGTTCTTTAAATGGCGAGATTTAAGAGTTGAATAACTCAAATTTTTGTGTTTTGAAGACTAGTCATTCTTAAGTGGATTCTAACTTTTAGATTAAAATTTTCCTTTCAAATAAAGACAAATTTTACATAAGGTTGCAACATTGAAATGTAGAGTTAAAAATGCACCTCAAAAAGCCATCAGAAAATGTTGTTTTAATGTTGAAAAACTTTTAATTGATCATCTCGACATCGAGATGTATGAATATGAAAAAAAAAAAAAAAATTAAACCTATAAATAGTGCATCTTGCAACACATTATCTAAACCGTCAATTTCAAGATTGTCATATGTTTGGAGTTTAAAATTTGATAATTAGATATAAAAATAGCTTTTTAAATAATCCTAATAATTTTTACACCAAAATTATACGTTATGATAAAATTTGGTGGTGCGCTTTAATCAAATTGTTTAAGGTTGCAAACTTATAAACACCACACCTTTCGAGTAAATATTTACTCGGGTAGTAAATATACAATATGCTCTCACGAGTGCATTACGTATGGACTCTAAAGAAAGCAAGGAGAGAGAGAGAGAGTCATGGTTTTGGAAGAGAGAGAGAGTCTAATGAGGAGTATGGGCATGGTTTTATTGGTGGCTTAACACAAGCTTTTAAATGGGTAGGTCACTCAGATCTTACTGGTGCGGAGTATTATGAGAGTGCTTTTTTTTTTTTGGAATTTATTGGATTTAAAATATTAGAGATATATTAGTTTTAGGAAAATTTTCTTAATACTTGTTTGTGGTATTAAAAAAATATTTTTTATATTTTCTGCTCATGTCTGTGCTTTATATTTTTTCAATATACACTAATTTGGAACTCCAAGTATCATACCGATTTTCTTTTGGGGCTTAGCTTTCCGTTTGGAACTTCAAATTGCGAAAGAAATTTGGAAAGAACAACACTAGAGTCGTTTTCTTAAAGTGAGCTCTAGTTCAGAACTTTAAGTTTCCGATCGGTTGAGAACTTGAGGTTACAAACCGATAATTGGGACAAAACACAAGAAAAACCCCAATTCGGAACTTATAGTTCGGAATCGAGGTATTTTGGATAAAAATAAATAAAACACAAACATCGGGACATAAGCTTAAAATAAAATATAACATATATTTTAATCACACAAAAAACTTAAATTACAAAAATTTCCTTATTTTCTATTAGATATGAATTCAAGTCATACACAATTAAAAACATAAATACTAGAAACATAATGGAAAACAATGACCTGGTAGTATGGTTGTTTCAAGCAAAAATCAAATATTAGTGGAAAATACTATTCTTTGGTGTTAAAAAAAATATAAAAATTTATGATCACAACCTCTGGATGTTTCAAGCAACAACTCAAATATTAGTAGAAAATATTATTCTTTGGTACAAAAAAATATGAAATTTATGATCACAACCTCAACAATTATGGAACCGAAAACAAATTTTCATCCATGAAACCATTGTATCTCGTAACGTGTTATCTAGACCGTCTATTTTCAAGTTTAATCCAAATCATAAATCCCTAGAAAACTGGATTTTCAAGAGTGTTCGAGGTGCAGTTTAACTTTTAATATGAAGTCATGGCCTTGTATTAACCATACCCAGACATAAATACATCAAACATTTGGCGAAGTCAATAATAATGTTTAATTTATGAAAAAATTGTGCAAAAATAACCGTCCAATAAATTTCTCCCCATTTGCTTTGTTGCATTGACATTTTAGAGTTGTTTCTAGTTAGAGACATGTTTCTACTTAGATTTAAAATACGAATTTACAAAACTATCCTATTTTATTTTCCGAATGTAAAAATAGTTTTATTTATTTCATAATTTTATATTTAAGTCCCACTTTTTGAAATCATGAAATGTATTTAAATTTGTTTGTTTATCTATAGAAAAGTGGATATATAACTACATTTGTGTCCCCTGAGGCATCACACGTCCTTCTTAAAGATAGATGTGGAGTGGTGATCTCTCCATCACACATCCATCTTAAAGATAGATGTGGAGTTGTGATCTCTCCAAAAAAAAGGGCAAAGATGTGGAGTGGTGATCTCTCCATCACACATCCATCTTAAAGATAGATGTGGAGTTGTGATCTCTCCAAAAAAGGGCAAAGATGTGGAGTGGTGATCTCTCCATCACACATCCATCTTAAAGATAGATGTGGAGTTGGATCTCTCCAAAAAAAGGGTCAAAGATAGTGGAAGTGGTGATCTCTCCATCACTACGATTCCATCTTAAA